CAATGCACTAAAATTTAAACTCTAGTAAACTATAAGGTTTGTGGCTATTAATTATGTGTAAATAAATAACCAGTGTCCATGTGTAACTTACAGCTGGAACATCTATAGATAATGGCTTTTAAAAGCTTTTTTTTTTTATAACAGTGTATTTCTAAGTCTTTTCATTACATGTCTGAGTCCCCCACTTTTTCTTCAATGAATTGCTAAGGTCTAGTGAGTAACAGCTTGATGACATAGGTTCATGCTTAAATGTATCAAAGGAGGACTGAAAGTGCTTACCTCCTCACTGTGCAACACCCTTTGAAGGATCTTTCAACATCGTGGTTGAGAATCACTGATCTGGCCCAGTGGGGCCCCACTCTTGTTTAAATATTGCCATGATAAAAAAAAATAAAGTAACTCAAATCCAAGTTTGACTTAACCAGGACAAATTCAGTCTTTGCAAATTCAACTCCCTGACCAATAGGGTGATAAAGATTCATGCCTAAATGAATCAAGACAAACAGCATATAAGTAACAGATTTCAAAATAAGTCACAATGTGAGAGAAGCTAGTACTTCAAGATATTAGGAGCACAGTGGCCAGATCTAAAACCCAATGAAACTGACAGCAGTTCTCTCACAAAGTTCAATAAATTCTGAACCAGGCACTAAGACTGCACTTGAGAAACCACCGCACCACAAATGAGGACCGTATTTTTCCTGAACTGTATTTTACTGCAGTGTTTCTCAACCTTTTAAGTAGCAAGTACCTCCTAACTTCTAAAAAATTTAGTAAGTACCCCAACATGCAATTTTCCAGGGGATTTTATATTTACAGACTAATGTGTGCCATATGTTGGAAGAAGGGCTGTGTATATAAGGCCATGACATGACAGATGTCTGATCTGGCCTGGGTAGGGTTGCCACCTTTTACACCGGGGGCGCACAACTTAAGTATGTACCTGGGCTACAGGTGATGTTGGCCAAAGTTAGGAGCGCTGAACCCAGTGCTGTACAAAGCGTGGCATGCCAAGTTATTACTGGGGAATTTATGGCACCAAATTTTTTGCCATAATTTTGAGAGGAGGAAGGGGCAAGAGAGGAAAAGAGGGCAAGAAAGAGAGAGTGTTGTGGTACCTGCATACCCCCTGCCTGTGTCTCACATACCCCCAGGGGTACGTGTATCACAGGTTGAGAAACTATGTTTTACTGCAACTAAGGTTCTAAATTACTAGCCCTAGGTGGATGTGGGATGAGACCCAGGTATGTTTTGCACTCAGGATATCAAAGACAGAGGATATCAAAAGATAATTTGATTTTCCAAGACATCAGGATAAGAAAGAACTACTATAGTCATCTAGTCAGACCTGCACAGATAAAAGATTTCACCCAGCAGTTCTCATATCAAGTTCAACAACTTATAACTAGGGACCTACTTAATTTGCGGTTTCACAGATTTCGCAGAAAAAATGCAAAATCCGGGATTTTCCACAAAATCAACAACAACAACAAAACTTAATAAAAATAAAATGCTGTCTCACCAATAGGAGCCAGGGGTCCTCCCTGCTGGGAGTGGAAGGTGCCAGCTGGCAGGGCATCATAAAGGGCAGCAGAGAAAATGGCATCTGCCCCCTCGCTCCTTGTCCCTCAACTGGGGCCTCTCCGCCAATCAGCACAGAAAAGCGAGAAGTCACAAAGGGCTGCCACCCCCCAATCTCTCCCGCTCCACCCCCCAGGGCCTCTCTGCCAATCAGCACTGAGGGGCTGCTGCAAAATGCCTACAAAAAATCGGCTCTGCGTACTGTCAGTGGGTTGCGAAAAAAACCCTTTATCCCACGATTTAAGTAGGTCCCTACTTATAACCTAACTGGGACATCTCTTTCAGAACAATATCCACTTTTGTTTTAAAGGCATTGAGTGATGGGGGTTACCACAACCCATGGTGACCTGTTCCATGCCTTCCCAACTCACTGTTAAAAAGTCACATCTCATTTCCAGTGTGAATTTTCCCATCTTCCAGCAAGTCTACTATGCCTTACTTTGACAAACAGAAGGGCCCTCAAGTATCACATATATATTATTAAATACAGATCTTGATCAAATCATTTCAAATTTCATTCTAATAAGCTAAACAGGTTGATTCTAAGGGATACTTTCTAGAACAAGATCAATTTTATTCTTGCAGTTCTTTTCAGCCACCTCACCCTCCATTTTTTCTGTATTCATGTTTGAATGCATCCTGCTTTTAAGTGCACTGTAGTCCAGGAGCGATCTCAAACAAACCTATATGAGTGGCAATATAACCTCCCTGTTACTATTCAGCATTCTCCTGGCAATACATCCTGTTATGCCAATACGTCACAGATTCACACCAGTGAAGAATTACTGTTTGCCAGTACACAATCATTCATCCTGGTAAGCAAGACCTACAGCTTTTGTTCCTAGATTTTTTTTGTATGAAAATGTTGTTAGAGGTTGCTATTGGGAAATTCACAGTGGTCTCCTCTTATAGATAAGGTAAACAAACTTCTGATCTCTCCTCTGCACCTGAGCTGAAATTTTCGGCTGAATACATAAGGATCACAAGCAAGACACTAGCTGCAGATGGTAAGGCATACAAGACCTGGTGATCATTAAAGGAGACAAGATCAGGGACTTGAAGATAATGTAAAAGGATGGAAGTAAGTAAGTGACCATGGAATTGTAAAATGTAATATAAGGAAAGGAAATGATGTGGTAGTACATCAGTCTACTGACCTTTAAACTTTGCAATATATTTTAGAGAAGCTCCTGCTGGAAGAGGAAATAATCATAATTCTTGACACCCTGGAAAAAAAATTCCCCCTCCCAAAACAAGAATACTGACACAAGTAAACTGTTGCAAACAATAATTTCTATTGAATTAAAGTGAAGAGAGAACAACAATGTAAATTAAACATTTCTAGTATTTTCCCATACTGTTAATAGTAATAATCTGTTGATTTGGGGGATTTTAAAGAATGATTTCCCAACGTTGCTTTCTTATTTTAGCTTTCGTAACATTACTTGACTAACCCAATGCCAGTTAAGAATCAAATTCTTAAGTTTGTCTTGTATTTCTGTTGTGCTATGTTATAGGACTTGGGCTGAGATGGGAGAGATGGATAAGGAAACAAGGAACAGGAAACTGTCTCCAGTATTTGCTATATTCTCTTAGAATAGCTTTGCTGTGAACCCCACCTCTTCTGCACAAAAATGCATACATAGGGTTCATTGTGCACATTTTTAAACAGGTTTAAAGTATGATCCATTCGCCTTCCATTCCAGACTGGATGCAATTGATTTCTACTCCATGGGTCAATGCCAAAAATTTCATTTCATTAAGAAAATAATATTATGGAGCATCTGAGATCATATAACAGACCAAACAGAGTGCCAGTGAAGTTCTAAGTGCCAGTACCCCACAGTGAATGCCTGATTATTTGCAGATGGGATATGGAAAAACTGTGAAATTATAGGCATTTTAAATCTTGGATTAAGACTGTACTTCAAAATGCATGTGTCATGGTAAATGTCATTTCTAACTTCAGATATATTCAATGATTTTGTCTCCAACACCAGCCACTTTCATTTCTTTAGTTTTATGAACTAATGGGAGCTTGCATTCTTCCAGTCCAAAACAGAAGTACTAGGTGACAGCACAGAACAGCACCAGTAAGTCAACGGTCCATACTGATATTATTTATCCAAGGAGCAAGTGTCCACCACGAAACTAATTTAAATCAGTCTCCTCTGGGCAAGCACAACAATTGGTCTAAGATCAATCAGTGAACATGAGATCAATTAAAAGCAGCTTAAGTTTTTGTAGAGGGACAGTTCACTCAACTCAAGTTAGATGTCCATTCATCTCAACACTCCCACAGTGCAATCCTTAAGCTGTGTTGTAAAGCAGAAATACTACTATCACCCTTGGCTGTCTAGCCAGCACTCTAAGTAGTTCCACATTTAATTAAAGACACAGACTACCCTTTGTTAGCACCGATACCCTGGTCATTTTAAAGGACTGCTGTCGTTTTAGCCACACACACAAAAATTAAATTCTGGAAACCATCTGCTGGAGAAACAAACATCAAAACTAAATCACTTGACAATGTAATTTTTGACCCGCTCAGAAGTGTACATGTGCCTGAAAGGATAAGCCATTTCTCCTTTGTAATTTTCTTAGGATTTATACTGCCTGATCGCTAGAGATGTTGCTAGCATGCTCCTAACAGCTCTTTGGCTTAAGTCTCTTTGGAAATGCTAGTGGTAGCCGAGCCAGCGGATCTTCTGTTTCTCTTTCAGCTGCCGGGACGGGGTGAGAGCCGGCAAGGAGCAAAAGGGACTGAACTGCTGCAAGTTGCACGGACACCTAGGAGGTTTTACAGCGACGGAGGATGGCACCCAAAACCCACAACTCCAGTGGAGAGAGCTGCAGTAACAGCTTCGTCCACCTGGGTGCTGTAACGGCATCTTCCACCGCCGCAGAGAGAGAAAGCGGAGGGGAAAAAAGGAAAAGAAAAAGGAGAGAAATCCCAGCCTGCAGCCTACCCTGCCCCGCGGAGACCAGCTCCGGGCCCGTGACTCAAGGACTGGACTCCTCGAGTCACCTCGAGACCCACGTCCGAGCCGTGGCAGAGCCCTCCTCCAGGGGGCGAGGATGCCACGGACACCCGCCGCCTGGCTCCCGGGCCCCAGGGCGCCTCGCCCGAGCTCAGCCGCCTCCTCAGCAAACACCCTGCGCTCTCGGGGCAGCCGCAAGGAAGTACCGGCGAAGTGGCGAGAACAGAAAGAGAAAAGCTTCTCGGCTGCCCCGGGCAGTCCGCCGGCGCGTCTCCGCACCTCCGCCGCCGGCGGCGCGGGGCCGGGCCGGGCCGGGGC